GGTCCAGGGGCCACATTTTGAGCAGCAAGGGCCACTGTTGCTCTTACAGTACGTGTCTTTCTGGGTACAAAGGCCACCTTCAGCTTGCAGAGGGAAGTGGAGCCGCTCTGGGAGTGCTCAGTGTTCCACTGGCTGCTGTGTCACCGGCCCCCACTGCAGCCACTAGGTCAGTAAATGTCGCATCAGCCCGCTAAGTCCCGGGCACGAGGCCGCGGACTCGGCAGTGTCCGGTCCGGTGTCTGCCCCCCGCCAGGCCAGCTGACAGAGCCGCAAGCAGAGGCGCCTTGGGCCCCAGGGGCGCATCCCAGCGTGCAGCCTTTCCTCGGGTCCTTCCACGCCAGCCTCCATCTCAGCGACAGCCCAGCTGGTCAGCACGGGGTGGCGCTTCCGGTAGCGAGTCTCTCTTTCATTGTTATTCTCTGTGATTCCAAAGCGACAGCCTCCCCAGACTGTGAGGGGGAAATTTCTGCGGCAGGAAGAGCTCTGGCAGAGCCCCACTGTGCCCTTAGGGTCCTTGCCTCGGTGGTGGCTCCTGTCTCTCCTCCCATCCGCTCTCAGGGAGGCCAGGACGCGGGCAGCATCTGCAGGGACAGCGGCAGCAGCCCGACCTGCAGCTCTGAGCTCCCGTGCGGCCCTCAGGGACCCCAGGGCCTCGCCTTCTTTCCCCGCTGTCCGCCAGAGTCCACTGCTCCGGTTCACCCTGCCTCTACAGTTTTTGTTGTTGTTGTTGTTTGTTTGTTTTCCCATACTGGAGCTTGAACTCTAGGCCTTTGCACTCAGTTACAAAGCTGCCTTTTCATTTTTTACTTTGCCACATTCTCAGTATGTAGCCGGGTTGCCCTTGGAACTTTCCACCTTCCTGCCTCTGCCTCCTTGAGCCCTGGGATGACAGGCGTGCGCTGCTGCACCCCACTCTTCCCTTGCACGGCAAATCCCTATCGAACTTGCCTGTCCTGCCTCTCGCTGTCCTTCTGTCCCAGGGACTCGTCCAGAACCCAGGTCTCCGCCCACGGCCACTCCCGAGCTGCCCCGACCTCCAACTCTGCAGTCCGCTCTCTCAGGGTCGTTGCGGTCTCACCGCCTGGCCCAGCTCAGCCGCCCCTCAGCTCAGTCAGGACGCCCACCCACCCGGCCGCCTCCAGCGCTCCTCCCCGGCTCCTCTCAGGCTCCTGGGCTGGTTCAGCCTCTGCTGCCCAGCCCCTCCCTCCTGCTTCCCTCCCGTCCCACCTCTGCCCACGGTTTCCAGACTGACCCCGGGTGGCCAGCGGGCACCTGGGACTTCACGCGTCCAGCAGACTTCTGAACGGGCCGTGTGCCGCCACCCACTCAGAAGCTCAAGCCCAAACCTAGGAGCCGCTCCTGACTCTGCTTCCCGCACAGCTCACCTGACTCCACCCTCAAGCCTGGTCCACTGCGCTCCAATGGACAACAGCAGCTGGTTCTGGGCGAGCTGTGGTCCCTGCACTCTGGGAGGTCGAGCCCTGGGGGCAATCAAGCAAGTTAGTAAGGCCCGGTCTTAAAGTAGATAAGAGAGAGAGAGAGAGGAAAAGAAAAGGGCTGGGGTGTAGCTCAGTGTGAAGGCCCCGGGTTCAAACCCTGGTGCTATTTTTAAAAAATTCCCTGCGCTTGCTGTTCCTCCTGCCTGAATCGCCTTTCCCTCTCCTGCCTGTATCCCACTGCCTCGCTCTCTCAGGCCGCTCTCTCAGGCCGCGGGCTCAGGGCCTTCTCTCCAGGGACTCTCCCGCCCCCGCCCTCTCCTCTCCTCCCCTGATGCCCCTCACACTTTCCCCTGCCTGACCACAGCCTCACTGAGTTACAAACAGCTCTTTGCCGTTTCCCTGCCTGCTGCCCAGCTCTGAACAAAACCTCGTGAGAGCAGGGCCTTGTCTGCCTCCCTCACAGGGGCCCGAGGAGCGGGCAGAGCCCGGCTCCCAGCACGTGTGGGATGAGCCAGCACAGGCCCCAGTGGCCCGGCCACTCAGGATGCAGGATGGTCCGTGCCCGGGCCCACGCCTAGGAGGTGCCTGGGCCGCTCAAAGCCGCTTCTGGGGTCCAGCGGACTTCTGAACGGGTTGTGTGCGGCCACCCACTCAGAAGCTCTGGACGATGACCCAGGGTGGTCCCATGGTCACCTGAGCACGTCTGCTGCCCTGTGTCTGGTGCCCAGGGAGCCCCTGGCAGCCCACGGGCCACTTAGACCAAGCCCAGTCGTTCTCATCCCTGGGTTTCCAGAGGCCTGGGGAGGGGCAGAGCGTCCCCCACCGCCTCCCTGGTCAGATTCCAGGGTTAGGAGCAGGCCCTGAGAGCACCGAGGGACCAGCTGGCCGCCCCACACCACCTGCCAGTGTCCTGAGGGACGGTGCAAGCTCCTGCGCGCGCCTCTGAGCCAGACCAAGAAGTCAGAGAAGCCCGCTGCTGGGTCTGCATCGTGTCCTGCAAAGCCCTGTGCTGAAGTCCACCCTCAAGTCCTTACCCTCCTCTAAGGAGGTCGTGAGGGTTAACTAAGGTTGCAGGGCAGCATCTGACCCAGCTGGATCCCTGGGAGACACCAGCGAGAGCAGGTGTGCACATCCTCATCCTGGTTCCCTCCTCCTCCGGTCCCCATCTCCCCCGCAGAAGAGGTCACGTGTGCAGCAGGAGGAAGACAGCCTGCCTTGATGGTAGGACCCGGCCAGCATCCCCACGCTGAGAAGTAAAGTCTGCTGTTTAAAGACCCAGCCTGTGTCACCTCGTGATGGAGCCCTGGGCAGACGGACACCCCCACCCTGGAGGCTGCAGCCCTCCTGGAACAGACTGACCCGGGGCAGCAGCAACAGCTCAGTGGGGGAAATAAAGAAGTGAGCGCCCCACCTGCCCTTTCTCTGCAGTCCCTTGAAATCCCACCCTTAGAATTCACCCTTAAGGAATGAGAGGAATGCCGCTCTCTCTCCTCTCCAAGCCTCCCGTTCCACCTCCCCCGGCTGCTCTGGAGCAGCCCACCCTCAGCTCAGGCCCCTCCCCAGCCCGCAGCCCCCAGGGCCAGGCACATCCGCTTAGCTCCCAGCCCGGCCTGTCCGGTCCTCATCCGGGAGCCCCGCCCCCGGCCGCAGCGCTCCCTGAACTTACTGCAGGGAAGCGTGTGGAGGGTGCAGAACCCGTCGCACGGCCTGATGCATCCCGTGGAGTCTGCACTGTAAGCAAAGGTTGGTCTTATGAAAAGACCGGCAGATGACACCACGAAACAGACTGTGATAATCGCTGACGCCCAGGCTCACCCCCAGCGACCCTGACTGCTCTGGCCTGGGGGTGTCCTGGGCCTCAGGACCGCAAAGCTCCCCCCCCTTGGCCAGTTCTCTCCCCCTGACTTTTGCTGTGCGTCCAGCGGTGAGCACCACGACTTACCAGGTCCTCTTGAGAGCAAGCAGCGCCCTGAGCCTCTGTGCTGACGCAGCGCCTTCCCCCGAGGGTGAGTCAGGCCTGCGCGCTGCCAGCTGCCAACGGTTCAGTCTTGCTGGCGTTTTCCGAGGCGCCCGGGCCAGGCCTCCGCTGGTTGCTGGGGAAATGTGAAGAGACACGTCCCGCTCAGAGTTTCCATCCCCTGCGGCAGCCGGGCTGGGGCTGCTGGTGAAGGGCAGGGCGGGGAGGGAATGGCTGCCAGCCAGTGGGTGCCCACAGCGTGCTAGGCCGGCTCGGGGTCCTGGCTGGGGCTGGGGTGCTTGGATCTTCCCGGCAACCCTGCAAGGAGAGGGTGCTGGGCAAGAATGCGAGGTCTGGGGAGCTGAGGTGCCTGGCCTTGCACCCAGGCTGTCTAACGTCAGTTACAAGGTCCTCCCTCCAGGCTCCATGCGGCGCAGGCTCCATGCGGCGCAGGCACGGGCTCCAGCATCCAGGCCCCGCTTTGCCTCCTGGGACTGTGAGGGCCTCGGGAGCCTGCCGGTGGGAGGCTGGGTGTCCGCCATCCATGGAGGGACCCCACTCAGGCCCCTGTCTCGTTCCACCTGCTCAGGCCTGACCTCCTCCTACCAGACCAGACCGTGAGAGCCGGTGGGCAGGGTTCCCCTTACCCACGTCTGTGCCCGCGCCCACTTCTCTAGGCAGAGCAGCCCCTCCGCAAACCAAGCAGCAGGAGCCTGGGGGCCCTGAAGGCTGCAAAGTTAGAGGCAGCCTGGGATTGGAGGAGTGGCGTTGGAGAAGTCAGGGGTTCAAGGGGCAGGACCCTCAGCCCCTTAATACCTCTGTGCCTCAGTGTCCTCATCTACGAGATGGAGAGACGTACGTCACACCCATCTCGGAGCCCTGCGATGAGCGAGACAGCTGTGGAGAGGCCTGGCTATGTCACAACAAACAGTAACCCACGTACTGCTCTAACCCCTGTTATTCTTATTTTGTTGCTGTTATTGTTGCCTGCTTCCCAGTTTCTGCCAGCCCCGGCCACAGATCTTGGAGATTGAGGGTGGGCTCCCCCTCTGGACTTCTTCAGCCTTCTCCCCAGCCCTAGGCGTAGCCAGACTAGGTGACAGTCACAGCAAGTGACCTCCGCAGATTTGGGGCTTGGTACCCCAAATGAAACCTTCATGGTAAACCAGGCGTGCTGGTGCAAGGCTGTAATCCCAGCGCTCGGGAGGCTGAGGCAGGAGGATCATTCTGAGTTCGAGACCAGCCTGGGCTACAAAGTGAGCTCAAGGCCAGCCTGAACTGCATAGTGAGACACTGTCTCAAGAAGACAAAAAAAAAAAAAAAAACCAAAAACCTTCATGTTAAAATTTTTTTAAAAATTCTGATACTCCCAACTAGCATTGTTGGGAGCAGGACCTGGACCTTGGCATTTTTAAATTCCCTTCCCCGTCCAGCAAGCAGAGCTGGGAAGCAGTGCTGTAAGCCGTCTCCCGCTGAGGGGAGCATCCGTCCTCCTCGTGGCTGCAGATTGCACTGGGGAGTCAGATGCGCTTCACTCCTGAACTACCCGCTGCATGATTTTGGGCAAATCTCTTAAGGGTGCTCAGACTATTTCCCCATTTGTAAGCAGGAGGTAGTACCCATCGTAAAGTTAACTTTTGAGGAATAGCATTAAATTAAATAAGGTGCCTGATGTATAGCAGGTGCTTATCTTATTAGCATAGCCTATAGCTCAAAGTCCTTCACGGTATGTCCAAGGAGATGTTGTGAAACACACACACACATACACACACATGCACACATGCACACATGCATGCATTTTAAATAGTTTGTTTCCTAAGGTTACCTAAATCCCATTATAAGTCTTGTTAGCCAGGTGCAGTGGTACACACCTGTAATAATTGCTATTCTGGAGGCCGAGACAGGATGATCCCATAGTTGAGGCCAGCCTGGGCAACTAAGTAAAATCCTGCCTCAAAATTAAAAAGTAAAAAGGGCTAGGAGTGTAGCTCAGTGGTACAGCATTTGTCTAGCATGTACCAGGCCCTGGAGGAGTATAATGTTTGTGAGGCTGCCCCTGAGTACCATCCTAGAATTCTGGTACAGTGTAAATGCGGGATGTCCCCCAAAAGCCTTCATGTTTAGGTGGCTGGATCATGGGGGGCTCAGTGTGTTGCAGGACCTGGTGGGAGGTGGCTTGGGCGCAGCCTGGAAGGGTATACTCCTCCCCAGCAACTCCCTTCTCTGCTTCTTCTTTGTTTTTGTTTCTTTGTTTCTGAGACAGGGTCTCGCTCTGCAGTTCAGGCTGGTCTTCTTTTTTTTCTTCAGGCTGGTCTTCAACCAGCTCTGTAGCGCATGTTGTCCACCAGCATACAGCGATCCTCCCGCCTCCCGAGCGCTGGGTTACAGGTGAGCGCCGTGCCGGGCCCTCTCTCTGCTTCCTGAGCACCCGGCAGTGAGCAGCCCCCGCGGCAGCCTTTCCACTCGGCTGTTTCTGTATCTGAGTCCGCCAACCATGGACGGAGCTGAGAGCCGGAATAAGCCGCTCCTCCTTGGATGTGGGTTTAGGGTATCATATCCCAGCCACAGGCAAATGAGAATGCACCCCCTTTCGGGTCACCCTTGGATCCCATTTGCAAGATGCCGCTACTTCTGCAGGATTCTGCAGGCAGGTGGAATGGGGGAGGGAGGGCCCCCTATCATTCACCCAGCAGAAGCTGCACAGCCTGATTAAGCTGTTTCTTTGGTTGGGACTAAAATTATTTTACCTCATGCTGATTGGAAGCTCTGGCAGCTGAATATGGTTGATTAATTAAAATGCAGAAATAAATCAATTATTACTTATTAAATGCATTTATTTTTCTCAACAAATTTCTCAAGTCTGAGGTTTCTAGAAAAAAACCCTGGCAGTACAAAGGAATGCTGCTAATGGCACGCTCAGGGACCCAGGCAGGGCAGGATTGATCCGGGGCAGCGGGCCCCTTTAGCCAGCTCATCTCCAGATGCCAGGGCACTGGTTAAAACCAAGATGCTGTGGCGTTCTGGTGGCCGGGGTTGACCCTGTAACTTGGGAAGGCGCTGGGAGGCACAGACCCTGCCTCCCTCCTAGGCCAGGACTGCTCTCAGGGAGGTGGATGGGAGCTGAATCCCAAGGGAGCCATCTCAGACAGTCTTTGCCTTCAAGACAGCCTCATAGCTGTCTTCTCTGAGCTTTCCCTGCATGCACAAAGCATGTTGTCTATTTTCTTGCTAAATTCTCCCAGCAGCCCTCAGCAATAAGTATTTTTTTTTTCTTTTGGTTTTTTTCCAGTACCAGGAATCGAACTCACGACCTTGCACTTGCCAGGCAAGCATTGTGCCGCTGAGCTAAATCCCCAGCCCCAGCAATAAGTATTAATGTCCCCAGAAAGAGGGTCTTCATTCATCATTCAAAACCGCTTTCTGAGCCCTCACCATGTACTCAGTCTTGTGTGTGTGTGTGTGTGTGTGTGTGTGTTACTGGGATCTGAACCCAGGACTTCCACACTGAGCTACATCTCCAGCCCTTTAAAAAAAAACTTCTTGAGTCAGGGTCTCGCTGAGTTGCCAAGCTGACTGGGCCGGGCGTGAATTTAAAATCCGGCTGCCTCAGACTCGCAGAGTCCTGGGACTGCAGGCCCGCACCACCACGCCCAGTGCTCAGTCCCTTTTGGAAGCTGGGCATTCAGCAACCACCCCAGGTCCTGCCCGCGGCGGTTGCAGTCTGGAGGAGGCGGCCAGTCTTCCGTGGATGACCACAGATCAGCGTAGAGCAGCAACTTCAGCCGCACGCCAGGCTGAGCGGTTCCGATGCCCCTGTCCCTGCCAGGGAGGAACGCTGCAGGAAGTCCAAGAAAAACACGCTTGAGGATGCGCAGCTGAGCCGAGACAAAAGAGAAGAAAGCCCCAGATTCCAGAAGCAGCGCATGCACCCCAAGCCAGGATGACAAGTTCGGCTGAGAATCTGGGGTTTTACCAAGATAAAAGCCCACGGTTGCCTTTGCCTTTCGAAGAGGAGAGGCACCCTCAGCTGGGAGGCGGGGACGCTGGAACTGACCCTCCGAATTGAGCCCGGAGCCCTAACGAGTGGCCCTGTCAGGGAAGGAAGGCTGTAAGCTGCCAGCTGGGTGGAGAAGAGTTCCCGGGAGAGACAGAGGGGCCGGGCCTGCCGCAGCAGAGGTGGCCCTTCCCGCCCTCCTGTCCTTGACAAGTCACCCATCCCAGGTCTCATGTATCCAAAAGTTAACAATAATATTAGTTCGGGACCTAGACCCCTGACAGAGCAAACTCCAGAGTACTCTAGAATGACGTGTTCACAACCTGGGGCTCCCAGGGAGCCCACAGCAAAACGCTCCCCACGGAAGGCGAGTTTCTAACCCCAAATTACAAACCACACAAAGAAACAAACCACTATGTGAAGGATAGTCAGTAAAAACAAGAACAAAACAACTAAGCTCAGATGAATTTATTCCAGAGGAGTGGAAGTAACAGAAAAACCTCAAAGCATGAAATAAATACTTTTGATGATGATAAAGACTTTATGATCCATTATTTATTTATTTATTTATTTTGAGACATGGTCTTCCTGTATTCCCCAGGCTGGCCTTGAACTTGTGATTCTCCTGCCTCACCTCCTTGAGTATTGAGATAACAGGCATGTGGCACCATGCATGGCTTCTAAATAGCTTTTTCCTTCTTAAAGAAAAACAAAATAGTAAAGATATAGGAAGATAAGGAAGATAATAGGAAGAACAAACTTATGGAAAACAAGTCAAATAGTTCTAGAAATGAAAAATCAAATGTTAAGAACTTATTTATTAAACATGGGGGAGTAGACAACAAAACAAATTGGAGCTAAGGCCGGGCGTGGTGGCACATGCCTGTAATCCCAGCACTTGGGAGGCTGAAGCAGGAGGATCATTGTGAGTTTGACACCAGCCTGGGCTACAAAGTGAGCTCAAGGCCAGCCTGAACTACATAGCAAGACTCTGTCTCAAGAAGAAAAAAAGCTGGGGATATAGCTCAGTGACATAAGCTCCTGCCAGGCAAGAGCAAGGTCGTGAGTTCGATCCCTGGTACTGGAAGAAAAAAACCAATTGTTTTGGGGCTGGGGATTTAGCTCAGTGGCACAGCGCCTGCCTAGCAAATGCAAGGTCGTGAGTTTGATTCCCAGTACCAGAGAAAACCAAAAAGAAAAAAAAAAAGAGCTAAGGAGCCTTTTAGCAGACTGAACAAAGCCAGCAGCATGCCAAGGAAAGCAAAAAATAGGGGAACATGGGAAAGAAATCACAGTTGAGAGATGTAGAGGAAAAAATGAGAATGTCTAATCCAGCTTAACTAACATTTCCAGCAGCAGGAAAGGAGCACTTTTAAAGAGGTAGTAGCTGGGAATTGATCAAAACCAAAGGGATAGTCAACCCTCAGCTTGGATGAGTACATGAGATCTAAGAATAAATTAAAAATGTATACCTGAGGCATACTAAAAGGCGAAGGGAAGCACATTAAGGCAGTAAAGAGTTTATTTGCACACACAGCAACTCATGAATCAGGCAGCTCCAAAACAGAAGCCGGGCTCCCCTGAAACAGCCTACCGGGAGGCGTTTCCCAGGCTACTGCGGAAGCAGAGCAAAGGCGTCGTGTGATTGGTTAGAGTGTGGCTGTTTCAGGGGACTTTTGAGACTGTGTCAGTAAGGCCCAGTTGGCCCCTGTGATGGCTGAGTTTAGTTACCGTTTTCTTTTTAATTCTGAGTTTGATTCTGGTTTGTGTACAGAGGAACCCAAAGCATCCTGGTAGTGTGAGGGCCTTCTGTGTGATTATTCAACAGGAACTCAGTGGGAAATCTGGAGAACAGCAGATAAATATTACAAAGCCTCGTGAAGGGGAAGTACGTAGACCTAGAACGTGCAGGCGAAGATGGGGAGTGGATCTTCCCTAGGGTGACAGTCAACTTTCTGTGACACCTTGGCTCAAATACAGTACCCACTTGTTTGGCAAAATACTAGTCGAGATGCTGCCGTGGAAGTATTTTTTTTGTGGGATTTGCATTTATAGTCAGTAGACTCCGTAAAGCAGCATGTCCTCCAAAGAAGATGCTCTGCCTCGAGGTGACGCACAGAATCTCACCTGGGTTTCCAGAACGCTGCCCTGTGGAGTTTGAACTCAAGACTCCAACCTTGGAGGCTGGGATGTAGCCCAGGGGCAGAGCGCCTGCAAGCATGGGTAAGGCCTTGGGTTCCAGCCCTGGCACTGCAAAAAAGAAAGGAAACTTCAATCTTCCCCAATTATCGGTGTGCTGGCCTGCTGTAGATTTGGACCGTCAGCCCCCAAGACCACGCAAGTCAGTACCTTAAACCAGAATCTCTCTCCCTTGGACACGGACAGGAGAGGCCATGAGAGCACACTGCAGGCTGAGGAGGTGTGAACTACACAGAAGGGAAAGAGGGAGAAGGAGAGGGAGAGGGAGCGGGACAGCGACAGGGACAGGGACAGGGACAGGGACAGGGACAGAGACGGAGGCTGAGGCAGAGCTTTGTAGACAGAAAGAATGGCTCAGACCCAAGGCTTGAGTCTGGGAACAGATCAGGCTGAGTCTTGAAAGAATTTGGGGCTTTTTCTCCTAGGAGCAAGCGGACGTCCGGGATTTTCAGTGGGGGATGCCCACAGCCCAGAGCCAGGCATGCCAGAGCTCGGTCCTAATCCAGGCCTCCCTGGCCCTGGAGTTGGTGCTGCGGCCCAGTACTACCCAGTAGCCTCCTAAGCTGGCTGGGACATTTTTGGTATTTGTGAGTCCCGCGTATGTTCTGCCCTTCTTTAGAAACCAGAAAAAAAAAAAAAGTTTTTTCTGTTGAAGCAAGGTCTCCCTAAATTGCTAAATTGCCCAGGTGGGGCTTAAACTTGTGATCCTCTTGCCTCAGCCTACCTAGTGCTGGGATTATAGGTGTGTGTCACCTTGCCCAGCCAGATTTCATTTTTAGAAGGTCTTTCCCTCCCCACTGCCTCACCCTCCTCTCTCTCTCTTTTTTTTTTTTTTTAAAGAAAGCAGTAAAAAAAAGAGCAATAGCAAAATACCAGTGTCACAGACATAAACAAAACAAAGCAAGAACATTAAAAATGATACAGAATTTCAAAACAAAATGATAGGAATTAACAGTGGTTGTTATATTACATATTGTTATCGTCAACTAAATTGTTCAGATTACCAGATGTAAAAATGCAAGATTGTTCAAACCATTGAAGACCCTCCTCTCGGGGGCTGGGGATTTTGCTCAGTGGCACAGTGTCTGCCTGGCAAGCGCAAGGTCGTGAGTTCGATTCCTGGTACTGGAAAAAAACAAAAAACAAAACCAAACCAATGCCAGTTCGCTCCTTCGCTCCTTCTCCCTGTGTCGGTGGGTTTGTCTTTCTAGTTCCTTCCTCCAGGACTCCGAGATCTGAGCACAGAGACCAGAAGGTTTCTGTTCCATCTTAAGCGACATCTCTATTAACCCTAGAGTTCATAGAGTTCACGTTCACTGAAGTCTGAGAACCACTAAGCAAGAGGAAGGCAGGTCCTGGACTGGAGCCTGGGGCCTTCCGGTAACTGCAGTCCGAGCTGGGGACCACCCTGTTTGCTGTAGGATGGACCCCACCCTCTTTCACGTGAAGCTTTCTAGCTGTCACAGTTCACAGAGCTCTTCGTGGTGGAGAGACAGAAACAAGGAGAGGGAAACGAGGGAGGTTCATTCAGGGCCGGGGCTGAGCTCCCTGTGTGCCGATGGGTCTCCCTGGCCTGGGGACACCGTGGCTGGGCCCGCACTCACACGGCCCTCGGCCGGCCCGGCCGACTGCTGAGAGCGGGTAGGAGCGCGGGCCGGGAGCTCCCGGGGGCAGGCGGTGGATTATCCTCTATCTTCAGTCTCTACCACCGTGCGGGCTTCAGGGCCCAGCACTGATGCGAGGGAGGAAAGAAGGACCCAGGGTCAGGGGAGGGGCTTCCTCGTCTTCTCCCTCTGAGTGGAGAGCACAGGGGGCCTTCCGGCAGGGTGACATGGGCCAGAATGAGCCAGAAGGATTTAAATACTGAAAAGCTTCTGGGCGGTCAACAGCCACAGCCCTGAGGCACACACATACCAGCCCCCCTGCTCTGGCTGCTCCTGCCTCCTCCTGGGGCTCCCCCACCTCCAGGACCCGCCCCCGGCCTGAAGCTGAAGTCAGCCTGTCTGGTTAGTGTCCTTGGGTGTAGGCTGCTATGTGGACATTACTCTCGTGCACAACAGCAGCGGCTCTGCCTGTGGGGCTGGGCATGGGATGGGCATTGAAGCCACTGCACTGAGATCGCAGGCAGGCTTGGGGGAGTCGCACACAGATGCGGGTACTTGGTACTCCGGCCTGCCCTCATGGCCGTAGCTGGTACAGGGCTTTTGGGGTGCCATGATGCCTAGGCTGTACCAGAAAAACCCCAGACCTTAGAAGCAGAGAAACGGAGTCCTGCTCTGGCTGAAAAGTCATAGCTGTGTGACCTTGAGACACTTTCTTAGCTTCTCTGAGCTCCTGTAAAATCTCCCTTATAAAAGGTTGCCTGGGGGATAACTGTGTTGAAAGTTGGGAGCTCAGTCCCTCTTCTCAAGGTCCTGAGCTAAATCCAGACCTGCAAATATAGCAGTGAAGGCTCCACCCCCGCTTGCTGGCTTCTGCTGTTCCCGGAAATACTCCCGGTCCCTGGCGATGGTTACCAGGATGCTGGGCTGTAACTAGGGGCTCTGGTGGCCAAGGAGAGACTTCTGTCTCTGGGCCTGGAGGACATGGGGCCACGGGGCAGAGCCTCTTCTCAGCCCGGCCTGGCTCTTGGCAAGTGCGGCTCACTGCTGGATGGGAGCTCATGCCCAGGACTCATCGCTGTGGAACCAGCGAGGTCTTTCTCCAGCCCCGTCCCACACTGTGTTCATGTTCAGGCGCACACACCCTTTCACACATGCAGACACACCCTCCCATAATGCTCATTACTAACACGGACACACACACTCATGCGTGTTCACACACCTACTCCCGAGAACGTGTGAAGACCTAAAGTGCAGCACAGGACACTGATTTAGGTTGATCTATTGATCACACATGCCTTCATTTTATTGTATTTATTTTTGGTTTTGCGAGGCAAGGTCTTGCTACGTAGTTCAGGGTGACCTTGAACTCACTATGTAGCCCAAGCTAGCCTCAAACTTGTGGCGATCCTCCTGCCTCAGTCTCCCAAGTGCTGAGATTGCAGGAGTGTGCCACATATCCGGCCCTGTCCATGTTTCTGTCAGCATTGTGGTCTTCTGAGCTCTGACCAGAATCACATGTCAACATTCTAAGGCTTCTCTAGCCAATGTCTCCATATCTTTCCAAACTCCTCTTGCAAACCCATTCCAAAAGCTTCTGATCCACATAGTCAGGTACAGGCACAGCAGTGGCCCCACTCCTGGCATCAGTTTTTGGTATTAGTCAGCTTTCTTGTCACTGAGACCGAATATTCAACATCACAACTTAAAGATGTTTATTTTGGTTCACAGTTTCAGCGAGTTCAGTCCATGGTAAACCAGCTCAGTGACACAAATGGCAGGTTGAAGGGCCTGACAGATGAAAGCTGCTCAAGTCCTGGGGTCTGGAAGCAGAGAGACGGGAGGAGTGGAGGATGAGAATACACCCTTCCAAGTCACACTCTTAGTGACCGCCCCCCTTCTGAAGAGGCCCTACTTTAAACACAAGAGTTTGGAGGGCATTTTACTTATTTTTTGTGGCACTAGGGACTGAGCTGAGGGCCTTGTGAATACTAGACCAGTGCTTTACCACTGAGCCACATCACCAGCAAGGAGGGCATTTTATATTGGAACAGTAACAGGTGGAAAGAACAGCCTTCCCAACCAATGATGCCGGGACAACTGAAAATCCACATACAGTACAAATGAATGAAGTCGGATCTTTTTTAAAATTTTTGTTATTTATTTTTATTTTTATTTTAAAGAGTAAAAGAAGGATAACATAATCATAGGGGGGCTTACCAAATTACAGACAAAGTGGTA